TAAAAAAATTAAAAAAAAATTAGAAAAAAAGGAAAGATTTAATTTATTATATAAAAAAAAAATGACAAAATAAATTTCATAATGTGATCATTAATAAATTAATGTATTCAATGATTTTATCAAATGTAAATGCAGTTGATGAAATTTTTATAGAAATTTTTTTTTACAAATTCAAATAGATTTTCTTATTCCTCAATTAGTATAATATATATATTGAAGCGCAACAGAAAAAAATATCAATCGTGAAAAAATCAAACTTTTTACATCATTCTATTTTTTTTTTTAAATTGGATTATTATTTTATTTCTAAATGTCAAATTAATTATGTTATTAGGTTTTTTTATTGCATACATTTTTTTTATTCTATTATTTACATTTTTTTTTATTTCATTATTATTTGATTACATATTTTAAATTTTATTCGAATACTTTTTTAAATTCTTATTTTTTTTTTGTATTTTAATTAATTGGTTAGTTTAAAATTATTTTTTTTCATTTTAACATTATTATTTTGTTTTGAATTTATGTATATTTTTATTTTTTGTTTTATGTTTTTATTTAATTTTTTTTTTTTTTTTGGTTTAATTTTTTTGTTTTCTTTATTTATATTTCTTTTTTTTTTTTGGTTCCATTTATTTATTTTTTTATTATTCTTTCTCTTAATTTTTTTTTTATTTAGTTTTATTTATTTGTTTAATTATTTATTTTATTATTCTTTGCTAATTTTTTATTTATTTAGTTTTTTATTTAATTTATTAAATTTTTTAATTATTATTTATTTATTTAAATTTTTCTTTTAAGACAAATTATTATTATTAACTAAAAAAGAAAATTAATTTTACAATATATATAAGCAGTAAATCTTGTATGACATATGGACAGTTGTAAACACGTGGGTAAGATGAGCTGTATATATGTATTTTAATTTTTTTTTTTCTTTTCTTTAAGTGGACCATATAAGAATAATCCCCGTACGCACGCTTCACATACAATAAATTTCAGGATGAGTATATATATATATATATATAATACAATACAAAAAAAGAGGCATCTCAGAGAGCGATACAGAAAAATAAATTACATCAGGATTTGGTAACCTGTGTGCGGAGGCTTACGAAAATTGAAGAATTAAAATTTATTTTCTTTTTTGCAAGAGAGGCAAAAAAAGCAAGGCAAGAGAGAAAAAAAAACCTTCTCCTATATATATAGTGAATGTCCACCACAGACCTTTTCTGAGGTCATTGATGATGATGATGATGATGATGATGATGAGAGATTGAAAACTTGAAGAAGAAAAAAATATATATATATATATGAATCGATTTCGAGTTCATTGAGAAACTGCGAGAAAATGTCATTGAAGAAAAAAATAAGGCAAAACTGAAACAATTATTTCATTTTAAAAAAAAATATATATTACCATTTAAATTTATTTTATTATTTACTTACTATTTATTTACTATTCATTTAATATTTATTTACTATTTAGTTACTATTTACTTACTATTTCTTTACTAATTTTTATTATTTATTTACTTTTTAAAATTATTTATTTACTATTTATTTACTTTTTCTTTACTATTTTTTATTATTACTTCTTTACTATTTACTTACTATTTATTTACTATTTCTTTACTATTTTTTATTATTATTTCTTTACTATTTACTTACTATTTACTTACTATTTCTTTACTAATTTTAATTATTTATTTACTATTTATTTACCATTACTATACTATTTATTTACAATTTTTTTACTATTTACTTACTATTTACTTACTATTTATTTACTATTTATTTACTATTTATTTACTATTTATTTACTATTTATTTACTATTTATTTACTATTTATTTACTATTTATTTACGATTTATTTACTATTTATTTACTATTTATTTACCATTACTATACTATTTATTTACTATTTCTTTACTATTTACTTACTATTTACTTACTATTTACTTACTATTTATTTACTATTTATTTACTATTTATTTACTATTTATTTACTATTTATTTACTATTTATTTACTATTTATTTACTATTTATTTACTATTTATTTACGATTTATTTACTATTTATTTACTATTTATTTACCATTACTATACTATTTATTTACTATTTCTTTACTATTTACTTACTATTTACTTACTATTTACTTACTATTTATTTACTATTTATTTACTATTTATTTACTATTTATTTACTATTTATTTAACATTACTATACTATTTATTTACTATTTCTTTACTATTTACTTACTATTTACTTACTATTAACTTACTATTTATTTACTATTTATTTACTATTTATTTACCATTACTATACTATTTATTTACTATTTCTTTACTATTTACTTACTATTTACTTACTATTTCTTTACTATTTATTTACTATTTCCTTACAATTTATTTACTATTTCTTTACTATTTATTTACTATTTATTTACTATTTACTTACTATTTCTTTACTAATTTTTATTATTTATTTACTATTTATTTACTATTTATTATTATTTATTCATTATTTATTTACTATTTATTTACTATTTATTTACTATTTATTTACTATTACTATACTATTTATTTACTATTTCTTTACTATTTACTTACTATTTACTTACTATTTCTTTACTAATTTTTATTATTTATTTACTTTTGAAATTATTTATTTACTATTTATTTACTATTTATTTACTATTTCTTTTCTATTCATTTACTATTTCTGTACTATTTATTTACTATTTCCTTACAATTTATTTACTATTTCTTTACTATTTATTTACTATTTATTTACTATTTACTTACTATTTCTTTACTAATTTTTATTATTTATTTACTATTTATTTACTATTTATTTACTATTTCTTTACTATTTTTTATTATTATTTATTTACTATTTATTTACTATTTATTATTTTTTATTCATTATATATTTACTATTTATTTACTATTTATTTAACATTACTATACTATTTATTTACTATTTCTTTACTATTTATTTACTATTTACTTACTATTTCTTTACTATTTACTTACTATTTCTTTACTAATTTTTATTATTTATTTACTATTTATTTACTATTTATTATTATTTATTCATTATTTATTTACTATTTATTTACTATTTATTTACTATTTATTTACCATTACTATACTATTTATTTACTATTTCTTTACTATTTACTTACTATTTACTTACTATTTCTTTACTAATTTTTATTATTTATTTACTTTTTTAAATTATTTATTTACTATTATGTACTTTTTATTTATTACTTATTTATTTATTTATTATATTCTAAAACGAAAAATAGTTCCAAATATTAAAAAAAATATACCAAATAAATACAAGGTAAGAATTATAAAGAAAAAACTAAAAAAAAAAATTTTTTATTAAATCAAATATGAATAATTGATAATTCCAAGAATTTTAATTATAATATTAAATATTTACTCTGAGGACATTAAAATTGACTTATAATTTTTATATATACCAAAATAGACGAAATAAAAAAAAAAAAATTGATTTAATCAATGTCATGTCCCTTTTCGAATTTGTGTAAGATTCCAAAATTATTTTCCCAAACATCTCTATTACCTAAAGAAAAAAAAACAGGTTTAAACTAAATCCTATTCTACATTTTTTATTTTATATTTGTTAATTAATTGAAATATATCCAGAATTATAAAATAAAAACGATATATAAAAAAAGATTTGTCGAGAGGGTTGGATAGTCAATTATTTTAGGTGCAGGATCTCAAATGTTAACGAAAATAATTCGTTTTAGGTTTTATTATTATTATTATGATTTTATTAATAATTATTAGGGCTCTTTAGGGTAATTCCACAATGAAATTAATTGAAATGAATAAATTGAAAATTTTAATTTTACGTTATTTTCACAATGGAAAAAGAAAATTGTAAACAAAAAATTTAGATCAGTTTAGGGTATTTTCACAATGGAAAGGGGGAAACATAACCTCCAAATTTAGGTCATTTTAAGGTGTATCCACAATGTAATATGGTAATATTAAAATAATATATTATTATTATTATTATTATTATTATTATTATTATTATTATTATTATTATTATTATTATTATTATTATTATTATCATTTTATTAATATTTTGTTATTATTATATTATTTCTGTGGGACCTTTAGGGTAATTTCACAATGAAATTAATTAATGGCGAACATATTTACAAAAAATAACTTATATTAGGGTATTTCCACACTGGAATAAAGGCAACATAACCTTCAAATTTAGGTAATTTTTAAGGTTTATCCACAACGTAATACAATAATATTAATAAAAAATATTATTATTGTTATTATTTAAATATATATATATTATTATTTAAATATATTTAAATATATTAAATATATATAATAATAAATTTTGTTTAATTATCAAAAAACTGTTTAGCTTTCACGGACCTTAAAAAGAAAATTAGAAAATAAGGAGGAAAACAATTTATTAAGAATTGAGACAAAAAAAAATATAGCAATAATAAAATAAAAACTGTGAATGAGGAAAACAAATGGTGAATATGAATAATTAATTTGAAACGTAAAATGCGAGCATAATAAAAATAATAATAATAATAATAATAATAATAATAATAATAGTAAGAATATGAAAAAAAAAATTTTAATTAAAAAAAAATAATAATAAAATTAATAAAAAAAGTAATAAATAATAATAATAAAAACTAATAAAAAAAATACCTAATAATAATAAAAATAATAATATTGATAATAATAATAATAATAATAAATAAAAATAATTATAATCACAATAAAAAAATGAGAGAATTTTCAATAGGTTTTGAGTATGGGAACTAAATAGGAAAAGAGAGAAAGATTAAAGATGAAATTAATGAAGAGATTTTTTTTTTTTTTTTTTTTTTTTAATGACAATAGCGCGATCTTTGTCGCACACACTCGTCACTTCTTTTAGTTATGTCAAATGGTCAGAAAGTCAATGAGGAGACCTCCTAGAACCGAATATCAACGAGAGGGAGGTCCTAGCACCTACAAGGTTTCGGCAACTATATAAAAGGGGACCTACCTCATGATTTTACATCAAGACGACAAACGTGGTCAGCACAGAAAACATGGTGAGTGCTCAGATAACACACATTCACTATATTTGATCATTTTTCAAGTTGGTTCCTCTTTTTTTTTTTTTTTTTTTCTTTTTTTTTAATAATTAATTAAATAAGAAAAAAAATTTCTTAAATTGAAATTAAAATTTTTAAATTTTAAATTAAGAAATTAAAATTTTTAAATTAAATTTTAAAAATCAAATTAAAATAATTAATTAAATTAAATTAATTTAGAATTTGAAATTTCAAAACAAAATTAAAAAAATTAAATTAAATTACAAATTGAATTTTCAAAATAAAATTAAAAAAATTAAATTAATTTACAAATTAAATTTTCAAAACAAAATTAAAAAAATTAAATTATGTAAAAATAAAAATTAACAAATGAATTAATAAAATAAAAAAAATTAAATTAAAAATTTTTAAATTTCTCAAAACAATTTATTTTTAATTACATTCACATTTTGTAGCTCCTAATTAATGTGAGAAAAATTCTTCTACCTAATTTCTGTTAAATTGGTCAAATTAATTAATTTTCTTTTATTTAAAAATGAAAATAGAAGAATATTTAATAATCTTTCATTGAAAATAATTAAATTATTTACTATTACATGAAGTTTATTATCAAAAATTTATTTAAAGTTGTTAATTAAACTTTTAATTTAACCTATGGAAAATGTGTTAGAAAAAATGTTTTCTCAAATTAACCTTTACATTAATTTGTTTCCCATGATTCAAAAAAAAAAAAAAAAAAATCTAAAGGCTAATGAAAAAAAGTTCATTTAGTATAAAATGATTGACAGAAATTGATATTAGAATATATAAACAAAATTCATTGATTATCCATAAGATCGAATGGAGTTAAATTTTATTTTCTTTAAATAAAATATTAAAAAAAAAAAATTTTTTGTATTTTTATAATTTTTTCTTGTATTTTAATATTTTGATATATTTTTAAAAATTATTTTTTATTTTTTTTTTATTTTAATAAATTTTTTTTTAATTTTTTAATATTTTTTTTAAGTTAAAAAATTTTTTTTTTAATTTTTTAATATTTTTTTTTAGTTTTTTAAAGTTTTTAATATTTTTTTTAGTTTTTTCAAACTTTTTAATATTTTTTAATATTTTTTAATATTTTTTTTTAGTTTTTTAAAAAGTTTTTAATATTTTTTTTAGTTTTTTCAAACTTTTTAATATTTTTTAATATTTTTTAATATTTTTTTATATTTTTTAATATTTTTTTCAGTTTTTTTAAAAGTTTTTAATATTTTTTTTAGTTTTTTCAAACTTTTTAATATTTTTTTTTAATTTAAAAAACTTTTTTAAGTTTTTAATATTTTTTTAAAATTTTTTTATATTTTAATTTTTAATTTTTTTTAAGATTTTAATTTTTTTTTTAGTTTTTTTAAAAGTTTTTAATATTTTTTTCATTTTTTTCAAACTTTTTAATATTTTTTTTTAATTTAAAAAAATTTTTTTTTAGTTTTTTTAAGATTTTAATATTTTTTTTAGTTTTTTTTAAAAAGTTTTTGATATTTTTTTTTTCTTTTTATTTACTTATTTATTTAAATTTACAAATTTTATTTTTTAATTTAGTTATTTCTTCTTTTTTTAATAAAAAAATTTTTTTTTAAATTTAAATTAATTTTTTTTTAGTTATTTAGGTTTTTTTTTTAATTTTTTAAAAATTGTTTCCATATATTTATATTTAAATAAAATATTTTAATTTTTTTTAAATAATACTGTTTATGATATAATTTTTCTGTAAATTTAATTTTTCAAATACAATTTTTTTTTTTAAAAAAAAATAAGAATATAATTTAAATTAGTAAAATAATTTTTTTTTAATCCAGACCTGCATATATGTGTGAAAAAAAAAATTATGAATTAAAAAATCTTCTCACCTCTGCTCTATGACAACATCTCATCTCTCTCTTTCTCTCTCTCTCTCTTTCTCTCTCTCTACTTTCGTTATAAACGTCTATACAATAATTATTCTTTCGTCTCGCACTAAATGCACAAATTAAAAAAAAAAAATTCCAGTTCTCTTTTATTCAATAATTTTTTTTTTTTTTCATAACGATTCTCAAAAGGATTTGCGTAATGCAAGTTTCTCTTTCATCAATATTTCATATGATATATCTTTCTCAAACAAAAATTTTTTTTCACATATATATATATATATATATATATATATATATATTTATGCATTTTATTTCTGTATTTTTTATTATTACACGTTGAAAATCAATGTTTACTTTTTTTTCATCAATATTCCCTTCTTTTTTGCAAATATTGCTAAATAATTTTTGTAAAGAAAAAAAAGAAAAAAAAAACAAAAAAAAGATGTATTTTTTCTTAGCCTGAAAAAAGTAATTCTAAATATAAGAAAATAAAAATGAAAAACAAAAAAAAAGTAAATAAATAAATAACAAAAAAAATTGATTAATTAAAAAAAAAATTAAAAAAATTGATTAATTAAAAAAAATAAATAAAAAAAATTAATTAATTAAAAAAAATAAATAAAAAAAAATTAATTAATTAAAAAAAATAAATAAAAAAATTAATTAATTAAAAAAAAAATAAAAAAAATTAATTAATTACAAAAAAAAATATATAAAAAAATCTAAAAATTAAAAAAAAATTTTATTTTTGCAGAAATTCGCAGTAGCTTCGGTAATTGCCCTCGTGGCATTGGTGGGTGCAGCTCCAGTTGATGAGCAACAGCCACCAGTTGCAATTCTCAGAAGCAGTGCCGATGGACCAAATCCAGATGGCTCATATTCATGGAGCTATGAAACAGAAAATGGCATTAAAGCCGATGAACACGGTGAATTGAAACAAATTGGTGATGAGGGTGGAATTTCAGCACAAGGTAGCTATAGTTACACAGCCGACGATGGAACACCAATTTCCGTCTCATATACTGCCGATGAAAATGGTTTTCAACCACAAGGTGCACATTTGCCACAAGCACCTGAGGTACCACCTGCAATTCTCAGGGCACTCGAGTGGATTGCCGCTCATCCCGAGGAAGATCAATTGACCAAGTAATAAGAGAAAAAAAAAAAAAAAAAAAAAAAACATCCCCAACTCAAAAAAAAAAAAAAATTCTGTTTAACGAAAAACACCGAAAAAAATACAAATATTATATGGTGATATTTAGCTTGCTATTTTTTTTTTTTTTTAATTTTAAGTGACTTCAGTGCTTCCCTGATGTAATTTATTTTTCTTTTTTTTAATTTTTTTTATATTTTTTTACATTTCTAAAATAGTTTTTTTACTTTTTTTTTAATTTAAAAAAAATTTTCATTTTTACTTTTTTTTAATCAAAAAAAAATTTTTTTTTTATTTTTTTTACCTTTTCATGTAGTGTTATTTACTTCTTTTTACTTTTTTAAAAAAAATTTATTTAGTATTTTTTACTTTTTTTTAATTTTTAAAAATTAAAAAAAAAATTTTTTTTAAATTTTTTTTTAATTTTTAAAATTTTTTTAAAATTTTTTTACCTTTTCATGTAGTGTTATTTACTTCCTTTTATTTTTTAAAAAATTTTATTTAGTATTTTTTACTTTTTTTTAATTTTTAAAAATTAAAAAAAAATTTTTTTTAATTTTTAAAATTTTTTTAAATTTTTTTTTTAATTTTCATACAGTGTTTTTTACTTTTTAAAATTTTTTTTAAGTTTCAATTCCTATTTTTTACTTTTTAAATTTTTTTTTTAAATTTTCAATACTTTTTTACTTTTTTTTAATTTATAATTTTTATTTTTATTTTTTAATTTTTTTTTTTCAATTTTTATATAATATTCTTTACTTTTTAAAATTGGTTTCATATTTTTTTTGACTGTTTTAAACTTTTTTTTAGTAAAAAAAAATTTTTTTTATTTTTTTTAATTTTTTTCTTTTTTTAATGATTTTTTTAAAAAAATTTTTCTTTCTGTTTCTTTAAATTTTTTTCTCGAAATATACAGCTCTTACACTATATTTTGCTAAACAGAAAAAATATTTTTTTTCCCTCAAAAATATATTGTAAAAAAAAAAATATTTTTTCCTAATTAAAAAAACACTGAAAATTTATATAAATAGAAAATATATATATTTATATACACACTTTTACGTATTGTAATATGTCGTCTCTTTTTTTTGTATATAATATAAATTATATTATAATTATATTATAATTTATAAATATATATATATATATATATATATATAAATAGAATATAAATTTGTGTGAAATCGTGCCAAAATGTACAAAAAAAAAAAAAAAAAAAAAAAACAAGTTTATGTTTTACGTTTTCTACCTCAAAGTTTGTAAATTTTTTTTTTTATATATATTTAATATGTTTTTTTTGTGTATAATAAAACTATGAAAATATATATATAATTGATAGAAAACATATATATATATGTATATAAATATGTGTGTGTTTTTTTTTTTTTGAAGTTCCTGATTTATAAATTATTTTCTTATTATAATACCACTATATGGGAGAGGTATTTTTATATATATTTAGAAACAGGTATTTTTACTTTGAAATTTATGAGAAATATGTTTTTGGACCTGAAGTAATTCCAACTTTTTTTTTTTCAATAATTCAAAATATATTCGATTTTAATATATGTTTTAAAATTAAAAAATTTATCATTTTTGCAAATAAAGAAAAAAAAAAAAAAAAAAAAACAAAAAAAGCAAAAAAAAAACAAAACCAAAAAAAATATATTAATAAAATTAATATTAAAATTAAAGTAATGTTAATATTAATTATTATCATTATTAATTACTATTATTATTATTACTATGGGCTCTACCCGTATAATTTCAATAAATAATTATTTAATTATTTTTTTTGTGTCAGCCCGTGTATTATTATAAATAAATAAATAAATAAATTTTTATTAATATATTATTAGGTATTATTATTATTATTATTATTATTATTATTTAAAAATATTTTTTTTTCATTTTTCTCTTTTTTTAAAAAAAATTAATTTTTATTAATAATAATAATCTCATCATCGCTATGTAATTTGGACTTTAACTTGTTTTCATTATGTCACCTGCGTGTTTTTGTCTCGCATATCGCTTTATATATGTATAATTTTTTTTTTTTTTTTTTTTTTTTTTTTTATTTTCTCTCTCTTTTAATAAATACAATTTAGTCATTTACCTCGGAATCATTTTGTTGAATGCAAATTATTTAACGCGTTTTAATACATTAAATACACACGCTTTCTTGATGCTGTGCGAGTACCACTTTATATATATGTTGTATTCGATGTCTTTTATCTTATTAGTCATTCTGTTTCATCGTAAAAAAAGAATCGTAATCTTCCGATTGCCATCAGGTAAATAAAGTCTCTCTCTCTCTCTCTCTCTCTCTCTCTCTCTCTCTCTCTCTCTCTCTCTCTCTCTCTCTCTCTCTCTCTCTCTCTCTCTCTCTCTCTCACTGACTGCATAATGTATTTTCGCGCGCTACAGCATTCTCAGAAGTACTCCATTAAAAAAAAGAATAAAAATAAAAAAAATAGAATAAAAACTATTACAACACAAAGCGATTTTTTATTACAAAAAAAAAAAAAAAAAAAAAATTTGATTAAAAAAAATTTTTTTTTTTAATTTAAAATTTTTTTTTTAAATTTTTAAACAAATTTAAAAAAAAAGTTTTAAAAACCACTGTTTTTTTATTTTCTACACTGCGTTTAAAAAAAAAAAAAGAAAAAAAGTTTTTAAGAGAATTTTTTTTATAAATTCTAAAAATTAGATTCTAAAATATTTTGGGATAATTAATTATAAGAATTAATATAAATTTATCCTTTTTTTTTAATTTTTAATTTTGATTTTGCAAATATATTGAAAAATAGCGGATAAATTTATTGAAACTTGAAAATTAAAAAAAAAAATTCATAAAAAAATTTCTGCTAAATAAATTTTGATTTTATTTTTAATACAATTTATTTATCCTTATTTTTATTTTTAGTTTTAAATTTTGATTTTGCAAATAAAAAAAAAATTCTGTACAATTTTTTTGCAACTTGGAAATTAAAAAAAATTCTGTACAATTTTTTTGCAACTTGGAAATTAAAAAAAATTCTGTACAATTTTTTTTGGTTATTTGGAAATTAAAAAAAATTCTGTACAATTTTTTTTGTTATTTGGAAATTAAAAAAAATTCTGTACAATTTTTTTTGCAACTTGGAAATTAAAAAAAAATTATATAAAAAAAAAAAATTCTGCAAATATATTTAATTTTTTTTTTTTTTATTAAAAATTACAAAAAAACGGTTTTTTTTTTAAACCGGAAAAAAAATCTTTTTTCCTAATTGGTAACTTTACATATATATTTCTATATAGAAAATTGTGACTATACATTCAGAAATTGTGATTTATGACTTTTCCAATATTACAAGGACCTAACCTTTTCTTGGGCAATAAATTGTTACTTCACATATATATATATATATAAATTTTTTAACTGATTTTTTAATTCTTTGACTACGCAGAAAAAAATGTGCCAGTAATACAGAAATAAATTTTTTTTTATATATATATATAGACATTTACACGGATATTCAATATACATATTATTGACTTGAAATATAAGTACATATGTAGATAAAGACGAAAATATTTTTTCTCAATATGCATATGAAACCAGAATCCGAAAAAAGGTTGAATAAATTAATTTCAAGGTCCATTTGGGAATTTTTCTTTCTATATATGTATTTATATATATATATATATTATACCATATATGTATAAATGTAATTGGGGAATCTAATCTAATGTAATCTAATGTAATTGGGGAATTAAGAATATGGCTCTTTGATCATATAAAAATTGTGTAAGAGGCTTTGCGACTTTTCGCGACTTTTTTTTTTTTTTTTTAATAAACGCACGTGTGTGTGTATATTTTAAATATGCGTGCATCGTTAATCACTATTTCGCAAAATTTTTCTTCAATACCTATAATGTACATCATTTTTTAACACATTATGTACAAAATAAATACAGACATTTTTTTTTTTAATTTCTACACAAAATGTAATGGACAAAAAAAAATTGGTTAAAATTTCTCGTAACTTTTTTTGTTTTATCATTTTTTGCACTATGGAACAAAAAAATATTAATTTCATTGATTTTTTTTCTAATCTATTTTTTATTTTTTGTTTCAGATCGAAAATGTGGAAATCTACCTTACCAACAGTCGGTAACATAGGAAACAAATGCAAAAATTATCGACCAGTAGCAACTGAAAATGTGGGAATCTACCTTACCAACAGTCGGTAACATAGGAAATTAATGCAAAAATTATCGACCTCTAGCAACTGAAAATGTGGGCATCTACCTTACCAATAGTCGGTAACAAAGGAAACTAATTCAAAAATTAACGACCTCTAGCAAATTATGAATCTACTTAACCATCTATCGATAAGGTAAGAAAATAAAAAAACACCAACTGGTAATGAAGTAGAAATCTACCTTATCAACAGTCGTTAAGGTAGGAAACTAATAAATACAAATATCGACTACTAATAATGTGAGAATCTACCATACCAACATTCCGCATGATAGGAAACTGGAAAATAAAAATTACTGACAGAAGGCAACGTACAAATATGCCTTACCAGTCTACCTTACATTACAGTCTTTCTTATCTCTCGATAAGGTAAGAAAAATATAAAAATACCTACTTGTCATAAAGTAGAAAACTACCTTACCAATAGTTGGCAAAATAGAAAACTGGAAAAAATTACCTGTTGATGGTACAGTAGGAAGCTACTTTACCCGTAGTTAATAAAGTAAGAAAATCTAGGGAAAAACATACTTTTCGTAAAGGATGAATCTACCTTATCAGCAGTCGGTATGGTAGGAAACTAAGACATACAAATATCTACTACTGATAATGTGAGAATCTACCTGACCAACATTCCACAAGATAGAAAACTGTAATATAAAAATTACCGGCTGCGGGTAAAGTACAAATCTACCTTACCAGTCTACATTACAGTCATTCTTAACTGTTTATAAGGTAGGAATAATATAAAAATACCTACTTGTCGTAAAGTAGGAATCTACCTTACCAGCAGTTGGCAATATATAAAAAAGTAGAAAATAACAATTACCTGCTAATGGTAAAATAGGAATTTTCTTTACCAGCAGCCGATAAAATAGGAATAATATAAAAATACCTACTTGTCGTAAAGTAGGAATCTACCTTAC